TTGGTATGTAGGGAGATTTCCTTCTTATGGCTTTCTCCGTCTAGGGTAATCCAAACGGTCAGTTATACATTGCCCGAAATTTCGGCCGTTTATTGTGGCCTTTTTCATGGGAAAACAAGAAAAATATTACAATTTATAGATACTACTACATAACCTTGATATAACATGAACATACACTGTCTACCAGTGCTGATAAAAATCATTCCTTCTACTAAGGTGAATAGCTGAAAATGAAGACAACCTTAGCAGATAGACCAACTACCTGCATGAATTTGAATTTTGACATAAACACTTTCTCTTGATCAAGGCAACCTCTGAGTACCTATCAAAGTCAACATTTGTTTTTCTTCATTCGTGGCTATTATCGCCTGTGTTGTTGTCAATATCAATATTCATCTTCATCTTGGTGGGGATGATCTTGAAGATCAAACCCAAAATGATTATTTTCATATTACACAAATATAGCACTACAGAACGTGTTGTGTTGCTTTTTATACTCAGATTGATGGAAAATTATTGCTTCATGCTGAATTGATGATAATATCGAGGTTTTAAGCTCTGGAGTCGACAATATTCAAAATAATCATTTTGACCAAAATGAATTTGATTATTTTTCTTTTGAGGATCACTTCTGATTTTGACAATTTTGGGTTGGATAATCAAGCAGTGGTGAATATCAGCAAACGTGCATTCGTTGCTGCATAATGAACTCATTTATTCGTTTCGCTCGTACTTCACAGCGAAGATATTAAAAAAAACGCAATTCATCTAGGGTAAACGCTCCTATAGTTGCGGTACGTTAGAAGCGTTAGGATACGTCTATTAACGTCTCTTTAAACTGTTCCCCTACAAGAGGAGAATTTAGTTCATTCGAGACGGGTTAGAAGCGTTAGGATTCTATAGTTGTGTATTGAATCTCCATGCACAACTAGAGGAACCTAACGCTTCTAACGTACAGCTATCCCCCGAAAAACACGTTATCCACTGAGTTGCACCCACCGCTTTTGCTCAGCGGGGTTTCAACCAGTCGGTCTGATTTTTTGCATGTGAGTAGTGTCAATGGAGAACTAGTCACTCGCAAAAAATCAGAGCGCTTGGTTGAAAACCCACCGAGACAAAGCGGTGGTAGAATTCAGTCGGTAACGCGTTCTTCGGGGGAAAGCTGTACCGCAACTAAAGGGAGCTGCACCATCGGGTTAAACTCACTTTTTTGACATCTGGCAGTGGTTTATTTACATGGACATAGAAAAGAAAAAATTTAGATTTTAGGAGGCGAGGAATATTTTTCAAGCGAACATAGTCGGATATCATATCTTTTAATTCTTTTCATTTAAAACCTCAAATCCACTTGAATCGACTAACAAACAAAGGTAAATAAACTGGATGTCAAACTGATGAATGCGGGTTCATCGCGTTCATTCGTGACGTCAGTGTGCAGCATCCTATAGGAGCGTTTCCCCTACACTGGGTTGAAGCGCTACTCCTCGCGTGTGATGGTAAATGATTAAAACAGACACTGCTGTCTACCGTTTGTCGTTAATTTTTTTTTTTTTTTTTTTTTTTTATATATTTATTAAGGAGACTTTTAGCCGTTGGCTGGCTCGTCTCCGTGTCGTTAAATTGTATTTGTTGCCACAATAAGCGTGTTTAGCTCGAAGGACTTTCCTGTACGGTTCGTGTATTTTAAATGTTGTGTTAAGGTACTATTTGGCGGTAATTATTAATCGGCTTACATCTCTCACGCAGATAACGATCACGAAACAATACACACAGTCAAATTGAACAATGCACGAACGAGTCGACATATATAAGCTTTATCAACTTTTGTGTATGATTTATCCCACCAGCTTCCTAAAAATACCCGTTGTATAGTGTAGTGACGTATAGTGTCCCATGTTAATTAAAATTGAATTCAATGTAAGTCCAGTAAAAATAACCACCAAAAAGTACCTTAACACAACATTTAAAATACAGAAACCATTATATCCTCCAAGCTGAACACGCTTATTGAGGCAACAATTTAACGACAAATGGCGGACAGTGTATGTTCATGTTATATCAATGTTTGATGTTAGTAGTAGTCTCTATAAATTGTAATGTAAATTTATCTTTGGCCACAATAAACGCCCGGAACGTCGGACAATGCATAACTGACCGGTTGAATTACCCTAGAATGAGAAAGCCATAAAAAGAAATCCTTTTACTATGTTCTAAGCACTCCAAATCGCCTTCGAGCTCCGATCAAATGAACTACTTCAACCACGACTACATGAGACAACGGCTTTAGTAACGAAAAACGTCCCAGAAGATGCATATAAGTATCATCGTCCGGGAGTTCAGAACATAAGATCCACTGAAATCCACTTGTTCAACTATGACTGGGACAATGTTCTTAGCAGTGAAATATGTCTAAGCATGGTTATGAAGTAAAGCAAATCATTTACGATTGATTTCCATGGAATAAAAATGTTCAGCGTTCTTCAAATCGTCTTGGAGTTCAGGTTAAATGATCTACCAGGTCTACCACAATTGGAATATTTTCCGTAGCCACGTCCAAATAGTTACACGGAGTCAATGCGCATCTCTTATGAACAATTTCTATAATATTGGATGTTATAAGTTCTCCAAATCGACAAGGAGTCCCGATTAAATGACTTACTAGATTCACCACGACTCGGAAAATGTCCTAAGCTAAAACATGTCCCACGCAAAGGAATTGGATCGAAATTGATGTAAATAAACTCCATCAATCCCGTTTCGTTGTTAAGTGTTTCGTGCAAGCCTTGGTTGATTCTTTTGACCATAAGATCTGAACTCATATATTTTCCAGCGAATGTATGGGGATGCCGGACGAAAATCAAAACGAGAAATTTTTTGACATTTTTAGGCATAGATGTAAAAAAAAAAATGTTAGTGATGATGAGAACTGCTATTTGTATAAATGACATATGTTATATAAATAATCGGAAAAGTTTAACAAATGCCATTCTCTTTGAAATCAGGCATAACATTTGATAACGGCACAAAAGCATTTGTAAACAAACTTTTTAGGGCCCTTTACACGCGAACCAAAGTACGCTCACGCAAACCAATACCACTTTCGGAAAGGTGATAGTTGTCCCTATCCGATGATGTTGTTGGTTTGCGTGGGCGTACTTTGGTTCGCGTGTAAAGGGCCTTAGAATGTTTGTTTACAAATGCTTTTGTGCCGTTATCAAATGTTATGCCTGAAATAGTGCATAACAATATTGTTTTCGAGAAAGTTGTTCATGCTGATCATATAGTTGTCTATGAACAACATACATATCATGAAAATCTTTGAAATACTTTTTTTTTATTTTTCACATAAGTTTCATTATGAACTGAAAACAATTTCTTCAATTTTATTACAATCAAAATGTACTGAGTGAAAAATTATTTTATTTATATAACAGATGAAACAGTTTTAAACCCCATGTCTGTTGAAGACCGATTGACGTTAAGCCACGAATAATTAAAAATCTCACAGAGTTGCAAAAAGATGCAACTACATTGTGTTCGATCCTTTAAAAGATAATTCTAGCAACAATTTTGCACATGTCCAAATTCTATTTCCATGGAACTTTCGATAATTGCTCGCTATGGGCAATTATTGAAATTTGTGCGGCCTTTTTAAATCGCGCCTCATTTTTTTAAATGGCGTTTTCAAAATAGATCAAAAAATAAACATAAGTACCGAGCTGCAAAAATGTTTGCGGTAAAAATTTCGTTCGGTTCTTGTTTAAATATCGTTCGGCTCTTGTTTGCTTTACCACAAAAAGATTACCGAGAGTTCAGCTGCTGAAATTTTGGCAATAAAAAAAACTATCACATGTTTTCTATGTACTTGGATAAATCGTCTCGGAAAGTCTTTTATTTTAAAATGATTACAAGTTCGGACTATAAAAAAAATCGATTTAAATCTAATATCTTATAAATTAATAATGCTCAGTTTCAAAAATTTTGGGGGCGGCCCCGGCGTAGTGGTTAACATCCATACCTCTCACGCCAAAGTCACGAGTTCAAATCTCACCCCCGGACAAGTCACGAATGACCCAAGAGCAGAGGTGGCAACAGTACATTTTTTGAAAAACCATCGTCCAGAGCGAAACAAAACAGCCAGCACACGGGCGGCCATTTATAACTACATTCCAAGCGAACAGCGGAGATAGAGAATAAATAAAATCTCGCAGCCTGATTTTTCCAAACAGTTTATTGTAATGAAATTTTAGCTGCATGCTTGCGTGTGACAGTAAATTACCAACTCCCTTATTTACGCATAATTTTAACATCAATGCTCATGAGTGGTCAGTCTTCATTCTTATCTTTTAATTCCATACAATAAACATCAAATAAATGCAGTAATTAGCCAGAAATCAGCAAAATTCTACACGACATAAATTTATGTCGCGCGTGCCGCCGATCTTGTCTGCTTCTTTGTGCGAAAATGTTCTGTCGCTGGCAGAAAACAGATTAGAAATGTCATGACATTTTTGCCGCTTGCCAGTTTGTTTTTGTGTGTCGTCAAAATGGTTATCGCAAAAAGTATCAAATGTTAAGGAAAAAATGTTAAACTCCAGGACTCGTGCCACCACTGCCCAAGAGTGTTAAAGTGACTATAATAAAAAAAGTTTTGTCTAGTTTAAAATCTCATACACTGACCCCACAATTATGGATCGGCTAAAAACAATTATGGATCAGTCAGTCTAGCGTGTTAATCAAATGGAAGTGATCCATAATTTTGGGGTCAGTGTACATTCGATTTTATAAAATAGTCCAGCATTTTGAAGATGTCTGTCTTCATTTGATATTGAAGAATTTATGTTCATGTTTCAGAATCTTAAAAATGTATTCACCTTCAGAAAACTGATCTTAGATCTCATTTTTTTTTAAAGTCGAACAATGTCAACCATTTCAAATCCAAAATAACTCCGTCATAACTAAATTCAATAACTCTCTATATGTCACTCCATCCACTACAGGTACCATCCCGGGTGCCCACAACGACAGCTCCTGTTCGTCCGGTCCCGAGTCGCCAAACAATCTACACCAGCAGGATGGCAGCGGTGGAGGTGCCGGTGCCAGTGGAGGCGGTGGTGGCGGAGGAGGAGGAGGAGGCGTAGGTGGTAGCAGTAGTAGTGGCGAAACCTCCGGCGGCGGTGGCCGAGCGCAGTACGTGTCCGCCACGTGTGTAGTATTTACCCATTATTCCGGTGATGCGGCCAGCGTGGTGGACGAGCACTTTTCTAGGGCGTTAAATTTTAGCGATAAAAATAATAAAGGTACGTACGCATTTTTAACAGTATTTGTGGTCATTGGGGGATTGTAAAATTACATCGTAAAACTGACACATTTTTCCGCTGCGTGGTGAGATGGTAAAACGGAATCAGGAGGAAGAAGCGTTGATGATGATGTTTTGGCACGAGTGCGTAGCTATCCTCACTCGTTTATTCGTTCCGGGAGCTGCACTCAAAACCATCCATGATCCCACAGGGCCCGCGGTGCAAGCGTGGGGAGCGAGGTGATCATGATGCTTAACCATGGTAATTAGCTGTTTATGCCTTCTTAACCCGAAAGTCATAAAAATAAATCACAAAAAGGCATAAAATATCGCCCCTGCTGATTCTCCGGGAAGATCTCAGCGTCAGACACATAGGAGGGGAGCAAATTAAGAGATGAGGAAGCAAATGTTTAACTCATCCAAATTGACACCGGAAGAAAAAGTTTGATGAAAATTTCAATTTTAACTAACGTGAGTCCCAATATAAATTCAAATAGTCAAAAACCGAAATTCGAACTTTTTAAAAGCTATAAACTATAGCCCCGAACAATTGCATGCACGTATACATTCCTCGGTTTATGTGACATCTTTATCGTTTTACTTTCGGAAATTCTATTAATACACGCCAAGGTGCTACTCGGGGTTGCGCTTCCATCGCAAGAACCCACAGCATAAATATGTATTAGCGAGGGAAATGGTACCAAAAACAGCTCTGAAACAAAACAAAGGTTAGAGAACCATCAAAAGGGCTACTGCAAAGCAATGCTGCTGCTACCTACACAACTTCATAAATTGATCGGTTCAGCGATTACTCAGTTTTTCTGCCTCCTCTGATCTTCGTAGAGCCCTTCCTTTGGAGAAAGAGTCCAACAAACTCAGAACTCTTCCCGCCGGGTGCTGCAGTAGTAAATTATTTATTTATTGATTGGGATTGTCTCCGGTTTGGTTTGGGTGTCAGCGCGACAGCCCAAACGATTGTGGGAAGAAGAGCAAAGGGCAGGATCAAAACGACAACGACTACCCGTGTGACGGCGGCAATGATGATGATGATGGTGATGATCCCGGGAGATAAAGGTTTATAAAATCGTATTATTATTTATGATGTCGACACAGCCACCGCGGGAAATGATTTATTGAGCTACAAATTAGCTTGGTGGAAAATTAGAGACACAAGAGAATTACGTTGTCGAGGTTGGTTAGTGAATTGACTGTTTGAACGGCCAGGGTAATTGTTTTTGATGATCTTTTTTTATGGCCGCTTTTTGTTTGGGATTTGCATTCAATTGGAAAAAAATGAGTGATTCAAGATCAGACAAGATTCATTCTAAGCGATGGTTCGCATTCGCATTAAGCAAGGTACACGGATTCGAAGGTGGTACAAGTGATATAGACGTTATCCGTTACTTTATACATATGCAGCAATTTAAGATTAATAACTGCTAATAAGATAGAAGTGAATAAATTTCCAAAAATCTAAAACTGTCCATGCAACTGGTTGGGATAGGAAGGAATGTTAGTTGGACACTTAACATAAGAGAGATTCAGAGAACTCTACGACTATTCGAAACTGTCACGGAAAGGGTGGAAATTTTTAGTAGGGAGGGTAAACCATTTTGGCTATTTAGCTAACTGAGCGAAAATACATTTTTTTAAGTTGATGGGCTTCGGATTGTATCCACAACCTTCTGCTCAATAATCAAACTTTGTGCACACTAAACCATGAGTCCATACAAGATTCATTTTAAGTGATGGTTGCAGAAAAATCTTTCAACTTGGTATGGGGTACGTGGTTTTTACAAAACTGAAAACTGTACAACCATCTCTTCTCCTGCATGGCTATTACGTTCAAACTTGAACTTTGCGCCACAATTGTGTGGGAATAACAAGTTCATGTCGAAAAAAATCAGGTCTGAAAGAAGAATTGAACCCTAGTTTACTAACTGAGCCCCTTGTCATCAGATCCATTAAACCTTCATTTCCATATTCAATTTTTAATTCACAAAAAAAACATAGAACAATAGAATGGACATAAGTTTGTTACCTTTAGCTCCATCATACATGTGTAGAATCAACTGCTGTTTACGTAGCGACTTTAGCAGCTAACTGTGGAACCATTTATCGTAATTCTTAAACAACTTAGACTTCTTTTCCAATAGATGAAATTCACATTTTAGATGAGCTTTTCTTCGATTGGATTAAAGCGAATCATACCAACGGACAAAACTGTGTCGACTGAGTTGAGCATGAGCCTGAATTTGATTGACCAACCGCGGTTGCTATTTCGTTATTGTCAAATCACCTTAAATGAAACAGAGAGCCAACAGATGATGCTTGGGTCTAGGTAACTCCCTCAATGTATAAAAACTGGTGATCTCAAACTTTATAACAGGCAATACCAGCGTCCGAATGCAAGTCAAGAAAGGAATGGGTAGGAATGTGTTGACGTGATACTCGCTTTGTTGGAAGCCGAGAAATCCTCTGCACTTCTACGATAAATAACTCGGATGCTGGATAAAAAGGTTGGGTATGCAGCAAGGTACGTTTTGACAAACGGTGATGATGATGTTCTGCTCAGTACGTAAAAACGGTCGTTCTAAGGCCACCGAGCCCCTCATATCATCCCAAGTAACAATTTTGGTTTTATGAGGGCTCTGTATACCTTGATTTAGACTTGTAGAATGCTATAAAACCGCGATAAAACCTGCAATGTTACTTGGGATATCAAACCACTTATGACCAATTTGTTGTAGCCATTCAAACCCGGAATTGACGAAAACGACGACTATTTTCACAATACACGCCATGAAGAAGCAATGAGACTATAAAACTCTTTAGTATAATCCCATCTGCTCAGTAAGCAAAAACAGCCGAGCTCCTCAAATCACAACACCACTTATGATTGACTTGATGCTATAACCGTTCAAACCCGACGGCGGTGCCCCTTACACCAGAATAAGCCTCTACGACCAATAATCTTTCAAACCCGGAAACACGAAGTTACGAAAAAGTACTTATGCCATCACTACATTCTACTTTAATTCGATGTTCATTATTTCGATTAGGTCTTTACGAAAGATGGGAACAGAGCTTACAAAGCCTTCATATTTTTCGTTGGTTTTTTCTGTATATTTATTTTAATATTTATCATATACGTCTAATAAGTCTACTGGAGTGGATTCAACCACAACAAATTTAACTTGGACCTGATTTACTTTCATTTGATCTAAAAATGAGTTCTTTGCACCATCAGAATAACTTCTAGGGGATGCGTCTTATTTCAAAACATATTTTGGCAGCGCTGTGATGGCATGCGACCGGGATGAAAATAATAGATCGAAATAAACAGGAGCATAAACCTGGATGGTCAGGATATCTTGCAAAGCATTAGCAGGTATCCATAGGAATAGAAAAGGAAATGGGATAAAAATAAGATTTTCTGGAATTGTTTCATTGATGGACATACGTACTCAAAATTGGTGGATAAATCAGATGGAGATGAGGATGTGTCGGTCCCTCTACTTTCCACGCTTTCTTGAATTTCGAATGATGTTTCAATAAGAGCAAAAGCTAAACTCGTCACACGTACCTAACCACAACAACCGAACAATATATCACGCGCGATCGAGGTTATCCCACCAAATAACAAACGGAGATGAATAACAATGATTAAAAGTTTATAAGATTGTTTTTCAACTGAAACGGACCCTAATTAAAAACTCAACATGCACTGCCATTGCACTTATCCTATTTATGTTTCGTGAGAAGTCATAAGGGACTTCTGGGTGAAATGGAGAATTTTCGAGACTGAGTTGGTGCAAATATTGCAGTGAAATTATGATCGACAGATTACACTATTATCACAGAAGACCAAACGTTCACAAGAGAGCAATAAATAACTATCGAAAATTATATTTGTACACTGGATAAAATATTCCCCGAATCATGGGAATTCCCGGCAAGAGCCGTCAGCTGTTTCCCGATTCCCAAGTAACCAGAAATGCCCAGTAAATGTAAACACTAATTGTGATGTAAGGGGCTCGGTGGCCTGGTGGCGACCATTTTTGCTAAATGATTCGAAATAAAAAATCTCAGAACATGATTTATCAAATCATTTACTAAGACGAATCCTTACTTAAGCAGGACAGGTAAACTCATCCCTTTCAATAAAGCAAGTATCACGCCAACTTTATCCTTGCCTTTGACTTAATTGCTGGAATTGCACAAGACAAAACATGAAATCCCCAGAATTTGTACATTTACGATGAATACTAGTCCCAAGATCAATTGGTTCTCTGTACAATCACAGCTTATCAGCCAGGCCATTGACATTATCTCGTAGGCAACATGACAAATACGTGACACCGGCTCAGACAGCAAAACAAATTATTTGGGCCCGGAACATGACGGCTGCTTAGTGATTCAATGAGTAACTTGAATTTTGTTGGCTGCTCGTCAAAACTCGTTGCATATTGATCTCAGAATAAGTTACCGAAATCCTCAAACATGATTCCAAGTTTTCGTCTGACAAAGATGAACGAGAGTAGAACAACCCGCGGACCGGATGCGAAAACTTTTGCTAAGCTCGTTGCGGGCCGTACGTTTGGCAGGCCTGGCTTATAGTGTTTGTAGTGTGCTAATATTATATAAAACAACAGGCTAACTCTTTGTCTTTAATGTGTTGTTCTTCTTTCGTGAAATCGACCGTGCAAATTCACTTGTTTCTAGGCGGCACGGCTAACTGTCAAAACCAAGCTCTACATTTTCAAAGCTCTAAAATGAACTCGAGTTTTGTTTCTTTCATACAGCGGTTTCAACGCATTTATATAACGCCTAGCTAGACTATCAGCACGACAAGAAAATGAAAAATAAGCATGCTTAGAACGAACGGCTGGTTGTGGATTTGGAACGAAACCTCACTATGGCATTCAATCCCTCTATCAGCGCTCTTTCAATTAGTTTAATATGCGTTATGACCAAGGGGTAGGTCACTCTTCACATCAA